AGCTCTAATTCTTTTTGAAAGTTTTTATAAGGCAAACACTAAACCCCAAAATACATGTTGGGAAAGAAGTCCATCAACTGAGATTCTTGCAACTGTTTTCCAAATCTTTGTAAAGTGCTAACCCACTCCATTTTTATAATAGAAAATGTTATTAACGGTACCCTCTGGCAAAGAATAAGCAGGGAGAGTATTGGGAGTATGACATCATTTCCAAAGGGCAGACTGACCAGCTAGGAAGGAACATACGGCCGGGTACTCCCTGAGTACAGTGCTCAGTGTTTACTTGCTGCCAAGTTGAATGCACACAGATTGCTACATTCAGTGAGCTTAAGTTCTGGTAGACCCAATGAAGCCTCATCATTTTGACATGGATAGGGTTAGAGACTTGTGTCCCTGCAAAAATCCACACATTGAAGCCCTAATCCCCAGTAACTCAGAATGTGATCTTGTTTACAATTAAGTTAAAAAATGAAATTAGGGTGGACCTTAACACATATACTGGTGTCCTTATTAAGAGGGGATTTGGGGCTGGGGTTGTGGCTCAGCAGTAGAGAGCTTGCCAAGCAAGTGTGAGGCCCTGGGTTCGATCCTCAGCACCACATAAAAATAGTTTAAAAAGGGGGGGAGGGGAACTTGGACAGAGATGCTATAGAGGAAAGACCACGTGGGAGAAGATGCCTTCTACAGCTAAAGAGAGCCTGGAACAGATCCTTCCCTCATGGCCCTATMAAGAAACCAATCCATCAATACACTAATCTCATACTTTTAGCCTCTAGAAAGGTGAGAAAACAAATTTCAGTTGTTTACACCATCCAGTCTGTAGAACTTTATTATGGTAGACCCAGAAAACTAATACAGGCAGGGAAGCAGGTAACTGGCCCCCCATCCAACATTTGACACACATCTCTCATTTCCTCTGTATCATGGTTCTTATCCCTGATGTGGAGAATGAAATAGTGTGTGAAAGAGGTCCAAAGTTTATCCCAAGTCATACTAGATGGCAGACTGCAACGTGATTTCAGGTCTAAAACCAATGGTCTGTAAGTCTGAGGCCCTGAAGATTCAGTACATTGCCCAAATTAATTAACTAAAAAAAAACCAAGTATTTCAATAAGCACATTAAGAGTCACTACCCTAAGTCTTGCATTCTACTCTCCAAACTAAAGTGCCTTGAAACAGATGAGGATCTCTTAAGCTAAAAGACTGCACTTATGAAAGTAAAAGAGTAACAGAGGCCAGGCCCTTTATAGCACAAAGAGAGGTGCAAATTTTCAGACCCTCCTGTTGAAGAACAGACAGCACAGGAGCCTGAACTCTCACAATAACACTGAGGAGATTAACCTCAGTTACTGATGTCAATCTCCTTGCATTCAAAGGAAATGCCTGAGGTGGTCAACCTGGCAGGAAGATGATGGATACTCAAAGGTACAGAAAAAAAATCACAAATAAATGAATGAACACTGCAAAGCAATAGACAGTCTGAACCCCTGACCCTCATTTTAATCAAGGATAAGGCTCTTTACCTCTCCAACCTAGAGAACAGTAATAGGTACCTTACGTTGAACAATAACAACATGTGAGGCACTGAGCTACCTGCTGCACATACATAACTCATCTGAAATATATAACAACCATGAGATTTAGGTATTATCCTCTTGGCAGTCTTGGAAGTGTGCTGCTCATATCTCCCTCAAGAAACAACAGACTTTGAATAGTATAGGGACCTGACAGCCTCCTGTGGGATTCATTACAGCATTCACCCTGTGGTCTCTCTCTCCACAAACTCTCAGCCAAATACTAACCATGGCAGGAGTACTAGAGTCAGACCATTTCTGTTCTATTCTAAACTTCTCATAGAAGCAATCCCTGTTTTGGCTGAGACTTCTTCAGAGCTATGCTGCAGTATGAGGCTCTTTCTGCTCAACCCTCCTTTCCCTGGTCAAACTAAAACCTCAGACTGAAAACTCTCTTGCCTACTCATGCTTATTTGTTCCATTATCCTTTTGTGTTCTTAGGAATTGAACTCAGTTGCTTTACCACAGAACTACAGCACAGGAGCCTGAACTCTAGATCTTATTTTTTATTTGAAACACTAAATTGCCTCAAATTTGCAGTTGCCTTGCCTCAGATTCCCAAGTTGCAAGGATTATAGGTGTGTGGCACCATACCTAGCTCTATTATCCTTTATTGACATTTCCTGAGTAAAACTTTTATACATCCAACTATGAGAGCCCCCAAATAACACCATCTCTATTTTACAGAAAAGGAAACAGACAATTCATATGCCTAAGGTCAGCTAGTTAGAATTCAAATTCACATTTTTGATTCTAAAGCTCAAACTCTTAACCACAGATATAAAGAACAAAGATCATATCAAGTAATGCTATAAAAATTCACCTGACTATGGTCTGGGGTTGTGGCTCAGTGGTAGAGCACTTGCCTAGCGTGTATGAGGCACTGGGGTTGATTCTCTGTACTGTATATAACTAAATGAGTAAAGGTCCATCAACAACTAATGTTAAAAAAAACAATTCACGTGACTATGCAAAAGACAAAGTAGTGCTATGAGAAGGGTACCACATCAGGAAGCTTTTCCATCATGTATTAGCAGAATGGTGTCTAGTAGCTTAATTCTTTAATCTCATTCTCTCTACTTTATGGACGTCAAGATTATCATCAAACTTGCTTCCTCACAAGGTAGTTACAATAATCAAATGAGTTTCTTCCTCCAAGAAAAAAAGTAAGAACACACTGTATGAGTTGAAGATTTTGCCAACTGCAAAGCATGTGGGGAAAATGAATAACAGCCCTGACTCTGAAGGAGTTTACCAAAGGGAACAGCAACATTTCTCTAAAATAGCCCTTTAAAATATGGGAGAAAATGATTACAGGATAGAGAAAACAAAGGACAAAATTCCAAATTTATATATGGCTTTTCTGCCTCAAACCATGAGTTTCCTGTTCATGCATATAGTCTGAGAGCCTATGAGTACCTAGCACACATTAGGCATTCAGTAAATAATTGATGAATGAGAAGAGCCTTATAAAAACCTCTAATCACCCACCACCCCTTTGTCCTTTGAGATACTGGAACACACCTCCCTCACAACCTCATGTAAAGCAGGGTACCTGGCAGTTCATATTGTCTTCTGCTTCAATGAGCTTTCCTCGGTATACCTCACCCGTGTTTGTCTCACATGTCACAATGTGGCCCTCGGCCTCATGCAGAACTTTAATCGGCACACCAATAGACATCTTGGCCGGAACAGAGTTCTACAATGAGAGAAACAACATTCAATTAATCTTTCAGAGTCCAAGAAGGACTGGTACTCCAAGATGCCAAAGCTACAATTTCAATAAAAGAAAGGGAGTGGGCTGGGGTTGTGGCTCAGTGGTAGAGCACTTGTCTGGAATGTGTGAGGCCCTGGGTTCGATTTCAGCACCACATATAAATAAATGAATAAAGGTTCATCAACATCTAAAAAAATTAACAAAAAGAAAGGGAGCTTAGTTCTTGGCTTGGAAGAACCACAGCAAACTCATGCAAGATGTGAGATGAAGAGGAGTCATAGGATGGACAAAGGGAAAGCTAATAGGAATGAAAAAAAACCCCTCCCTTCTCCCACCCTACTATGTGTYCCTTAATCTTTATCAAAATAACTAATAATCAATACAGTGTGCATGCTGGGGGAGAGAGGACTGGCATCCACCTTCAGAATAATATATTTGTCAACCTACAATTGCTAGTGACTCAATTTTGAGAATGTTATAGACCTGAGTTGTTTAGAATGGTAGTCACTGTCTGCATGCACCTAATTAAACTTAAATAAAACAGAAAATTCAGTCAGTCACCCTAGGCATATTGCAAGTGCTCAACAACCATGTGTGGCCAGAGACCACAATACTAGGTAGTGCAGACACAGACCAAAGGACTCAGACAAATCTAAGAGTGGAGGTTGTGCTTTTCAACTCAGATCTTTCGACTCTCCATTTATTGCACTACCAAGGCTAAGGAAAAAAAGTATCAAAATGTTCAGAGTGATAACCTGCTGTAAGCAAGCAATGTTACTGTGAAGGAAAAATAATCAGGATAAATGTTTGATTTACACTAATTAAAAAGAAATAAGCGGCGAACATTTTGACTCAAATGTGGAACACATACCATGTGTTCAAGAGACAGAGAAGGTAAATGAGTAAAGAGAATGCCTTGGTGAGAATTTATGGCTTTCAGCTTTAGGAATTTGTATTATAACAACAGGGAGCTACAGGATTATACATAAGAAAATACATAATGAAAAAAAAACAACAGCACTTATAAAATGATTCGAATATACAGCTTAAAAGCAGAAAAACTTGTTACACCTTCTACAGCAGTCTGGAAAGCACTGCAAGAAAGAGGCAGAAATGCAAAGACCTTTGAAAAGGATGATSCAAACAGGACTTCGGGGAAGAAAATGATTAAGCAGAAGTGATTCCAAGATTTCCTGGATATTTCGGGAAAAATGACCTGTAGAAGCATAGGAAGTGAAAATCACCTACTTTGGGGAACAGTTAGTGATTAACTATTCCAAGTGCTAATGATACGATGGAGCGGGCCCCGCTTCCCGCTCTCCTCCCTCCCTCCCTCTCTTATTCCGGCTGAGCTCCGAGGCAGCGTATCTTTCTCCGACGTCCAGCCCTCACAAGTGCCTCGGCCTCCCCTCACCCACCCTCGGTCTGTCCTCACCTGCGGCGGCCTATTCCTCCTTCTTTAAGATGTAGCTAAAATTGATGCGACTGCAAAGGCGTGAGGAAAGCGAATGGCGGCAACCACGTTCCCAGAATACCACGGGTTCCCAAAATGCCGCGCGCATGACCCGCCCTTTCCTTTCCTTATTGGTGGGCGCGGTCTAGTCTCTGCTTCCTCTTCACCCCGCCGGCTGGGAAACGTGGACTATGGTACAACAGTTCCGGCGCCGGAAGAGAGTGAGTTGATGACAGGGCCCAGGGGTTGAGGGAAACACCTACCCTGGAGCCGGCAAGGGGACAAGAATGCTCGCACTTCCAAGCACTTCACACAAAGGGCAAGCTGGACAGCAAGGCGGGTATCTGGGGCCTGGGCTCTCGGATCGGGAGCGACAAGGAAGTGGTGCTGAGGGCCAGGACCTCGCCTCACAATTTAACCTTTGGATCACGTCACCGCCTGGTGAGGGCGGCTGAGCAAGGCGAGGTATGTCACTGTACAGAGAAATGAAGTGTAGGGGGGCCGCCCCGGGAAAATCCCTAAAGGGAGCCGGAGAAAGGATGCCTGGAGCCTCCGCCAAGTGTAAGGCGGGACTAGAGCTAACACCTGAAGCTGCAAAGGACAGGCCCTGAAGGCTGGCGGAGTTTCTTAAGGGGAAGAGCCTCTGAAAAGCCAATGTTTGCAGTACGCCGGGGCTTCCGGGCGGGGCTCAGGGAAAGGGGCGGAGCTTCCGGGAAACGCGTCATCGTTAGCATAAGGATTGGACAAGGGGGAGGGACCATCAGAAACCCGGACTGCGAATGGCGGGGGCGGGCTTAAATCTGGTGGCTGGGGCCTCTTGGAACCCAAGTCTGGGAAAGGGAAGGGAAGGGCGGGGCCTCGGGATTCCAGACCTGAGACGGCTGGGGCGGGGTTTGGGGCGGTCTGGCCACCGCCTCCCCTTCTCCCTACCACTGCGGCGACCGAGGAACTCGACACACACCGGCCGCGCTCCTGGCCCAGCAGAAGCCGAAGCTACAGCCCGCGCCGGGCCGGGGCCATGGGCGCCCCGCGCCGCCGGGGTCATGAGGACGGAGGCGGAGGCGGCGGGGTCGCAGCTTGAGCCCGGTCAGTGCCTCTGTGAGGGCCAAGCCCTCACCCTGGGGACCAAGGGGGACACCGCCCTAGCGCAGCGCAGGGTCTGGCCGCACGACCTTGGGCCGACTGCCGTCCCAGCCCAGGCTGTGTGGAGCTTGGAGCGAAACCTGGCCAGGTGGACTCTCGCGCCTCGCCTCCCTCCCCCACACTTCTGTTCATTTGTGTTTTACTGATACTCCCAGGGCTAGGACCCCAGTTACTTCTGATAGCGGTCAGAAGCAAAAGATCCTGTTGGAGCTGCCTTGGGAGGTCCCGCCTCCACGGGGGAACTGTCTGAACTGAGACCAATAAGGGGAGGCAGCTGCCGGAGAGAGTGTCTGTCCAGCAATGGGAAGGCCCTTTTCCCTGGCTCCCAGACTCAACGACCTGTCTTTTTCACTGTGGTTCATTCTGCCTTGAGGATGCTAGAATCCCTTTGATTGTCCAAGAATGGGAGTAAGGAGGTAGCCATGATTCCTGCTTTGCTTAAGATACAGACAAGGTTGATGTTAGTAAACAGGTGAGATGCCAACTTATGAGAGAGGTCAAGAGTATGGGGGACCCAGAGCCTAAGATGTTAGGGAACGTTGGCACATCACATCCAGGGACTGGTCTTTTTTTTGTGATTGCAGCATGGAATAGAATCTGAACATTATACTGGAGTTTACATCTCTAGTCTTCCAATTATCTAACTCTGTGGTCTTTACTGAGATACTTTCTTTCCTGAGTCTTAGTGGGGTAATGCTCACATTCATAGGGAGCTTTCTTGCCCCAGGCATTTTGCTAAATTGTTTATATGTGGTGCCTCATTACTCCTCATAGCAACTGGGTAAAATAGGCGACCACTGTTGTTTGCCCTTTTGTAAAGGCACAGACTGAGGTCCAGAGGGGTTAAGTGACCAAAGACAGTAGACAGCCTTTATTTCTTAGTGACAGCCAACAACTTAAAGCCAGACCAGGGCCTTCCAGGCAGACTCTAGGTCTCAGGTGGGGTTGTCTCCTGACTCCAGGCATCAATATCTGGCAGCTGCTTTGGTCTCTGAAAGCTAAAGCTGTTATCAGGACAAATGTCAAGGCCTTGCCTTACCCTTATCACCCCCTACAGGAACATCTTCATATGGGCTGACCTGCCTGTGCCAAGACTAGGATGGCCATTTGGAGATGTTTTGCTCCATGGGGCTCCAGGATCAAGGGGTTCCAGGGCTCAGGGCAAGAAGAGGAAGAGCAACTGAGTCTCCCAGGGTCCAAGAAAGCAAGTATCCTGTACCACATTTTATAGCTGGGCACAAGATGGCCCAGCTAGTCAATGCCAGAGCCTAGGCCACAGAGTAAGAAGGGAGTCTTCAACAAAGGACTATAGTCTGGAAACCTGGGGCAGGGGTACTGCAATAACAAGTAGGCTTGGGCATCTCAACGAGTAAGGCCTTTTTGGAAAACTTGTATTCACCAAACATGTTTGAGGGCTGGGAGAAAGCAATTCAACTCTGTTCTTACCTGACACCACAGAATTCTCTGTCCAGGGGGAAAGTGGATGCCACCTCAAGGACTCCACATTGACAGACCTTGGGAGGTACAGGAAACAGAAATTTGGACTTTCAGACTAAAGGTTATACCAGAGCAGAGGCTGGAGAGTACAGCCTGAATAAACAAAAACAGAAAGGCTGTTATAGTCACAGGGGTTCTGAAAAGGGAAGATACTGGTTTATCATTATAACACCACATCCTGCAGAGAACTCTCTTTCTAGCCAGTCTGTTGTGTGGAACTGTTTTAGAATATAAGTCTCTGGAGATCAGGATTTGGGTCTTTTTAGTCACATTTTTGTGCCAAGAGCCTTGTACACAGCAAATGCTTAATAAATCTGTTTTTTTTTTCCAGTAAGTAGTAACTTAGAGTTGTTATTAAGCATCAGATACCAGGTACTGGGAAAACAGCAAACAAGAAGAGCAGGTTCCTTGCTATCTTAGTCCATTTGTGTTGCTATAACAAAATCCTGAGACTGAGTAGTTTATAAACAATAGAAATTTATTTTCTCATAGTTCTTGAGACTGGGAAGTCCATGATGAAGGTGCTGGCAGGCTCAGTGTCTGATAGGCCCATTCCTCATAAATAAGCTCTGTCTTGGTATCCTCACATGGCAGGAAGGGAAGAAAAGGGGACAAATGCTGTGTCCTCACATAACAGGTCAGAAGGGTTGAGGGAGATGTAAGCTAGTTCCCTCTGACCCTTTTATAAGGCACTAATCCACTCATTGTGTACCCAAAGTCCTCGCCTCTTGATACCATCACAGTGTTTTTTGGGGGGGACACATTCAGACCATAGTATCTGCCTTAAGAAGCTTATAGTCCAGTGGGGCAACAGTAGCTTCTTTTGTTGTACTAAGCACTCAAAGAAACAGGATGTCATTAATGGGGCCCCTTACCCCTCAAAGATATAATCAGGAAAAACCTCTTAGGAGATTCTGAGCTGGGACTTAAATGACAACAGCACCGGGGGAAGAGATTTCCAGACAGGGTGCCAGACATACAGAGGCCCTGGGGTAGAATGAAATCTGCTGAGTTTACAGGTCAAACAGTGTACAGATCAGGGTTGAGGTAAGTCTAGTGGGCCAAGATTTCCTGCTAAGAGGTGAGAATTTTATTCTAAGAGCAATGGAAAGTTGGATGAAATTCATTAGTCTGCTGTAAGCAGAGACAGAAGGTGAGTAGAATTTGGGACAAAGGACAGGTAGGACTGAATCCATGGCAGTGGTATGAGACAAATATGTGAGGGCCTTGAATGAAGGCCTTGGTTCTTTTTCGAGGCATCTGGGGAAGAGGACAAAGCCTCAGTCATGCCTGGGTTCAGTGTACCAGTCCCTGGCTAAGAGGCAAGGTTCTATGCATACTGTTGCCTTGAGTGCTCATGGTACCCTGTAGGCTACATCTGCGATGATTCATTTCATAGAGGAATAAGCAGGCACAGAGAAGTCAGGTGGCTCAACAAGCAGGTTGTCTTCCTCACCTATGCCATCCTGCCTTTATTGGCCTTATTGCACACACTTTGAGGTAAAGCGTGGCCAGTAGCAATCACAGGTCCATTTGTTATTGCTGTCTACCAAGACAGGGACCTTGCCTATGTCACTCACCACTTTACTATAGTACAGATGCCAAGCACTTAATCAGGTTCTTGGAAAATATTTGTCAACTGAATGACCAAATCAGACCAAAGTCCCCACTTTAGGGTTGGCCAAACTCAGTTTAGTAAGAGGAAGTCCATTGTCTAGCTCACAGCCAGCCAGTGGTAGAGCCAGGACTAGAATGCCTAGGTCAGGCCTTTTTTTTTTTTTTTTTTTTTTTTGCTTCATCTCACTACCTGGCAAGGACAAACTGTGAGGTTGCTCAGTGACTGTGTTAGAGAAGCTTTCAGAAGCAGTCCACATATACAGCTTATTCAACAGTCCCCTTCTTACTGTGACTTTCATGTGTTGGTTGTCCTAGTGCCTTTGGAATCAGGTAAGCCTCCCGGTGTCCCACGAACTTGTATCTGCTAGGTACCTCCCATTTGCCATCTGGTCTGAAAGCAGGAAGTAAAACAGCCCTACTCCTGCTTCAGAGATCCTCCCCAAAGAAGGGCTGTGAGGGAGAGACATGGGATGATGTGAGTATACATGGTGGGGGCCAGGTCTTAAAGGGGCAGTACCTTAGAAAAGGGAGGTTCAGGGGCAGAAGTTAGCTCTTCAGAAGCCAGGAGCATCTAGGCAGAAGAACCGTGTGTGCAAAGGACCCCAGGTAAGAAGGATTATGACAGGTACAGGTTCTGCCTGAAGGACAGCCTTATGACGGGGAAGAAGCTGAAGATGCTAGGACAGTAGCCACAGAGAAATTGTCCTAAGAGACATGGGAACCAATTCACTGGAGGATTTTGAGTAGGGCTAACCTGCTGTGGCTGGTGTTTGGGGGAGATCACTGGTATTGTAAGAATGAAGGACTGTGGGAAATCTTCTGAGCCCCCACAGGATCTAGGTAGGAGGTGATGACTGTGTCTCCACAGGGAATGGTAGTAGAGTTGAAACCTTCCTCTGTTCCATGCAGGGGACTTTGTGCAGCTGCCTGTGCCCATCATCCAGCAGCTCTACCACTGGGACTGCGGCCTAGCCTGCTCTAGGATGGTGCTTCGGTGAGTGGAGGGGCCTACGCCCTCCCTATTCACCAACTACTATGGTTTGAGGGATGCATGGGAAGACACCTGGGTGGGATTCATCTTCTCTGTGACCACCTTTGGCTGAGGTTGCAAGAAGCCTATCTTCCATTTGGGCCCTGTCCTATTTACAAAAGTGAGCAAAGGGTGGATCAGGTCACCCAGATCTCTACTCTGGTAATGCCTAGGAATTTGGGATGGCCAGAGATGTTCCAGGGGCCTTCGCCTAGCCCACAGAGCAGCCCGTAACTGGTATAGGGAATCCTCTATGCTCCTAATCTCAGGCTTCTGGGAGTCTGCTGAGCTGAGGCTGAATGAATATTATAGGACCCTTGACAATCAGAACCAGAAGAGACTATAGCCATCATCTTGTACAAGAGTTTTCAGTCAGCTGCCTGGAACCCTAGATCTGCCTCTCCCTTATCTGTTTCAGTTTTACATTCTGGAATTGTGGGAAAGATGGGATTCAACAAAAGGTTCAGTGCCTAACACTTTGAAAACCACTGATTTGGAGGCTACGGGTATAGCTCAGATGTAGAGCATTTGCCTAACATGARTGAGGCCTTTGGTTTGATCGCCAGTACCACCAAAAATAACCTTTACAAAACAAAGCACTAATGTGATACAAAGGCCTAGAATCAACATAACCATAGAGGATGGTAACTTGCCCAAGATCACACAGCCTGCAAGAGACACAAGAAGCAAAATCTAGGTCCTTGACTCCAGAGCCAGAACAGTGCCCCAGGTAGCCTTAGCCTTGATAGTCTTCAGGTTGTGTTCAGGCAGCATGTGGGCAGGTATAGGGTTTCATGATAAAGGACAGAGCCTTTTGGGGAGCAGAAGCAACAGTTGCTATAGACCCAGTAATGGAGTATGACCTAGTTCCACCTATGACCTAGTTCCACCTTGAAGCTGAGCTTCTTGGCCTCTCTGCTTGTAGATACCTGGGCCAGCTGGACGATGGAGAGTTTGAGAGTGCCCTGCAGGAGCTGCGCCTAACCAGAAGTATCTGGACCATTGATCTGGCCTACTTGATGCGCCACTTTGGTGTGAGGCACCGCTTCTGTACCCAGACCCTGGGCGTCGACAAGGGTTATAAAAACCAGGTAAGCCACCACACCTGGATGGGCCTTCTCATTTGAGGCCACATAGAGGCATAGGTCACCCAGTTGTAGTAGTTAGAAGAGAGAGCTGTCAAGGCCTGGACATCTGGTGGGATATAGGTGTGCAGAGACCAGGGGCAGTGGCAGATGGGCTATAGAAAGGATTTACCAGCCACATTGAGCAGGTGACCATGAGGTCCAGCCTGTGTGGAGTACCTAATCACTGAGTCCTGGCTCCTGCCTACCTTCTATGACACTCAGAGGATGTTCAGAAGAGCATTTACCTTCCTTCATTCTTCCTTACTGTCCTCCAGCACAAGGCCAGCCCAGGGCCTCCAAGAACATCACTCTGATTTCATGTAACCCTCATTTGCCCATTTTCTTCCTTCTCACCAGGGCAGCCAATTCTAAGCTGAGTAATTGGTATTCTTGAAGAAAAACGAATATTGTCTTTCCTTTTTTTCCTATTAAAAGTAATGCCAACATTGACAGCTGAGCCCACACGTCAGTGTATTCTGTTTCCCTGCAAAGCTAAAGCCTTTCTTACAAAAGTTCGTGGCCCAGACTCCAAAACATGGCAGAGCGAAGTCAGTGCTGGCTAGTTAGCAAAAGGGCTGTGACATGGTGGCAGTTGCCAATCAACTTAACTTTCCTTTGAACCTTCTTGGTCAAAGGAAGAAGGCTAATGAATCTAGTCTGGTTGAGGCAGAGAAAGAGGCTTAAGAACAGGGTCTTTTTAGCCTCCTCCATGGGGGTTCTGGTTACCATAAGGTACTTGCACCAAACAAAGGCTGTTCCATGAACCATGCCTGGATAAGCTGAGCTATGGCTCAGCCTCAGACCCCACCTTACCCTTTTGCTTTGAGCTCTTGCTTATGCCTGCCATAGGGTGACCAGTCTTCCCTAAGGAGCTGGCCTGAGCCCAGCTGCCCACCCATCTTGATAATGCCTCTGGTCCTGTTTACTCCCTGGCCTGGGACAGACTGGGTGTGCTGTATGTGCAGCCTGCCTCACAATGGAGCTTCTCTGCCCTCCCACATCCCCTCCTTCTATAACATATTCTTTGCTTTAACCATATGGAGTGAGAGTAGTCAAGTGGACTGCCCTTCTCTCTTTAGTCCTTCTATAGGAAGCACTTTGATACAGAGGAAACCCGGGTGAACCAGCTGTTTGCAGAAGCTAAGGCCTGCAAGGTGCTCGTGGAAAAATGGTGAGTCCTTCTCACCCTACCATGGCCAGTTACCTCTGGTGAGGTTGGTAGTGAGGGAGATCTCAGGATAGTGTTTGGGAAAGGCTGGGGCTCTAGAGTTAGGCAAAACTAGTGTCTCCTACCTAGGCAGTAATTTGCCCCTCTGTGCTTTGTTTTTTCCATCCTTAAAATGGGGGTCAGTGGAGCTATATAACCTAGACTCTGGTCTGGAGTGGATCCTGAGCAGGTACTGGAGGGAAAAGTGAGTGATACAGGCTGTGATCAGCTCTTGGACTGTTCATAGGATAATGGCATGAAACAAAACATAGAAGCCCTAAAAAGGGAAGGACAGCCTGAGTAATGTGGTGGCAGGGCGATTGACAGTGGACAGGGACAGGAGCAGGGAAGGCCACATGTACAGACTGTCTAGGAAGCTTGTTCCCATGCTGGGACCTTACATGGACCTCTCCCTTCTCATCCATATGTGGGGGTGGGCTGGATTCAAGCAGACCCTGGGGGCAACTTGCCCAGATGTGGTTAGCATTCTCCAGACTTGCTTAGAGGCTACACTTAGACGTCCTATCTCTAGCCCCTGGCCAGACTTTCTGGGACCATTCTTCTCAGGTTTACTCTTTCTTTATAAAATTATGTTTTTATTATTAACATAATGTAACCACCTGATAATTTGGAAAATGAGAAGATAAATCTCTACTATCCTCTGGCCACATGACTGCCTGATGGAAGTAAAGGCAGCAAACGTTTTTTTAGGGCACTTGATAGGCACTGTCTTATTGAGCAGGGAAGCTGTTGCCGCCCCATTTCTCAGGAGGAAAATGAGGCTGGGAGAGACCTGCCAGTGCACGGTTCCCCCAGCATTGTGGCTATGCTGTGATCTGAACCCAGCATTTCTACACTCATAATTCTACAGAGCTGCAACTTTTCGATCTAGCATGCTCCTTCTTTTCTCCCATAGCTGAAATTCCCCTCCTCTTGTACACACCAGTAGGAACTCTGCCAGCTATTTTGTTTCAGAGACTAAATGGAAAAATGGCATGTTTCACCGGCCAAGGCAGCAAACCAAACTGCCACGTGACTCAGCTGAGGCTAGAGTTGGGCCAGACCTCATGGTGCTGATGCTGCCACTCCTGAGGAGCTGATTAATGAAGGAGGGCCCCAAGTGGTGAGCAGCCCCTTCAGCAAATTTCGGGGAGCCCTTGGCTTAAGGGCCCCAAGCCCCTTCTGTCCCTTCTGGGTTTTTGTTTAGATTTGCTGTCTGCTGGAAGACACAGAATGGGGCCGCTTCTATGAGTCTGCCTATGGGACAGCTCCAGACATTGTGCTTACTGAGTTAACTTAAAGCATTCCCCTATAAGTGCTTTCTGAGTGATTCCTTCTGCCACAGGAGCCTTGGAAAAAGGGGAAAATAGCCCTTTTAGAAAAACATTTGGTTTTGAATGTGGCCAAGCCAGGCTCTGCTCGGATTTGGGGAATTAAATTGGGCTAGTAATTTCCAATGTAAACCACATAGGATTTATGGGAAAGTAGAAATAGGGACTTGGCAAAATATCTACCATACCAGGAGTGAGGTTCCATAAACTGTTTAGTAGTGGTCCTCAGTTGTGCCCATCTGGAATTGACCTTCTGACTTCCCTTCCTGAAGGGCCAGCTGGTCCTTGTGTTCTCTCAGAACTCTGCTAACAACATACACACACTGGTCCTGTGTAGGCCCTGAGCCTAACCTGGGCCAATACGATAAGCAAGGATGTTCCATGTACAAGAAATTCAGGGCAGAGGGAAGACAAGTCAGGTCCCCAAGTTTCGTAACACAGGATAACGGGGGTGTAAGCAGGGATCTATCCAGTTGAGATGGGGAATAGAGCCCATTGGCACCAGCTGACCCCCTTCTGCCCACAGCACAGTGAGTGTGCAGGACATCCAGGCGCATCTGGCACAGGGCCATGTGGCCATCGTGCTCGTGAACTCAGGGGTGCTACACTGCGACCTGTGCTCTAGCCCCGTCAAGTACTGCTGCTTTGCACCCCGTGGCCATCGCTGCTTCTGCCGTACCCCTGACTACCAGGGCCACTTCATTGTTCTGCGTGGTTACAACAGGGCCACCGGCTGTATTTTCTACAACAACCCAGCCTATGCTGACCGTGAGTGCTGGGGTCAGGGTGGGCCAAGGCGGTATGCATTCACTGTCCCCTATGTTCCCACAACTTCCTCCTATCCAGCCTGATATGACCACAATCTCCCTTGCTGCCTTTTCCCCAAGGCCTCTACTACTCCTGGGCTCTTGTCATCGGGGCTACCCCTTTTACCATGTAAGCAAACGAGCCACAAACTTGCACCAGTGCTGGCCTCTGACCACCCCTCTTTTCCACTCCACTGCTCAGGTCCCTGCCTCAATAACTTATGTTGCACAGGCTGCAGTGTCCACTCAATCCTTCCAGGACAACCAGTACACTTATTAGAAAGTCTGTCCAACCTCACCCTTGCTCCATGCTACCTACTACCCTCAGGGTACAGGGACAGACTTTCCTGACCTGTCCATGTGTCCTGGAGCATGTTTTTTCCTTTCTCTGGGCTTTGCTTTCTCCATATGCTATACTGAGGAAGGGTCAGAGAAAGAGTTCATGAGGGCCAGAATAGGCAAGGAAGGCTTCCTGGGGGTGGAGGACTTGAGCCAAGAGGTGTGGCCCAGCAGATGGGATGTAGACCTCACCCAACTTCCCTGGGCACTGGTAGGTTGGTTGCTCTCTCCCCACCTACTGATCCCACTCTGCTCTCCCCACTCTCAGCAGGAATGTGCAGCACCAGTGTCAGTAACTTTGAGGAGGCCAGAACCAGCTACGGCACAGATGAGGACATTCTCTTTGTCTACCTGGACAGCTGACAGCAGGAGCCTGTTGTGCCCAGATCCTTGGACCCCAACTTCAGCCAGCCTAATCAGTATGCCCAAGTTGGGGGCTGCTGGGACTGGAATGCAGCACTGCAGCTTCAGCCTGTCTGACAAGGCTCTGTGGAACTCTGGGAACTGGCTTAGCTGCTTTGTCAGCTAGTGCTATATGTTGTCATTTACCCCAAGTATCTGCTGGCTCCTGAAGGCTTCTCCAGAGTTCTGAGGGGAGTCTCCCCCAGGATGACAAGCCTGACTCCAACAATGCCCATTGGAAGTCCAGCTTCAAGGATGCCCTTGTTGTCTTCTAGCCAGACCCAAGGTGAGGGGAGAGGCCTGAGGCAGTGTTCCCATAGACCTAAGGACTGAGTCTTGGAGAGAGAAGTCACTTATCTGATGCTACTCATCAGGACAGCATCTGCATGTTTGGAAAGTGTAGCTGAATTCATGTCCCTGGAGCTGGACTGGAAGTGCTACAGAGCCCCCTATAACCCATGGTAGATGCCATTACTACCACCTCCTGCCTTCCAGTGGGCCCAAGTATCTGACTGGTTATGAGGCCACTGGCCCCTATCATGCAGTGTAGACACCTCATAGCCACTTGGCTCTGTAGGGAGGAAGGCCCTAGGGAGTGTGCTGGACACCAGCAGAGAGTGTACCCCAGGAATAAACAGCTACCTGGATCCCAAAGAGCCCTCCTCACCCATGAGGCCTCCTGACACCAGCCTAAATCCCAAAAGGAGGGACCATTTGTCCTCTGGGTGTGGGCAACCCCAGGTCTGTCGGAGCTGGGTGGTAGAGCCTCTTGTTGTGAAGCAACGGGCAGGGGACAGTCTGTAGTCTCCAACCCACACTGGTTTTCATGCCAGGACCTTTTGCACAGAATGTTGGATCTCTTCTGTCTTGACAGAGAATGGTGATGACTGCCCAGGATCACACAGCACAGCAAGCAGCATTGACTGGAGCTGGTTTCTTCCTTCCTTATTTCCTTCTTTCCTCCCCTCACCCCTTTTTAAATTTTTGTTGTTGTTGGGAGCAGAGGTGTTTTTTTTTAATTGAAATTTAAGTTTTTATTTTTGCTGGGTGATTATCCTTTAAGTAAGAATAATAGTGAGATTGCAGGTACTTTGGAACCACTAACACCTCTTTTTTTCACAGGGCAGGTAAGCCAGCCAGGTTTCTTTTTTAAAGTCTGAGCACCAGGCCCCTTGCCTTACTTGAGGAGGAAGTTGGCCCAGGACAGTAGTAGAGCTGGGTCTTGAACTCAAGAGCCCTTCATGGCTGCCTCTGGCAAAAAGACGGGGGATACCCTGACAGCCCCACCATCCCTGCACTCCTAGGGCATGGTCTTCCAGTGCCCAAGGTGTGACGTGGTGGCGGCTGCTTCTCCCACACCGACTCTAGCTGGCCCCTCTCTCACCATGGTAGTTCTGAGGGGTGGAGGAAGAGTCTGCTTACCAGTTCTGTGAGACCACCCAGCCACCTTGCTCCTTAACACCAGACAGCCTTGGGCCGAGAGGGTAGCACTGTTTGCAAGGCAGCCATCCTGGGTTTCAGAGACTGGTGTTGGCTTTAGTCTGGTCTCATTTCTATTGCCTTAATGCTGGGTGTCCCAAGGTCCTAGGGAACTCTGGCTCCAAGCTCAGGAGTACCATACACAGCAGCTGTGGGGTATGGGTGTCCTCAGGAGAGGTTTAGGTAAAATTGTGGTGAGAATAGCTGAATGAAGGAAACCGATGGGAAGTTAAGTTTTCATGATGACTGCATATGAATGAGGAATAGCACACATGGTGGTGAGCTGTTATGGGGAGTAGCCTTCACAGAAAGTGATCACAGCACCTCATCCATCCAGGACATGCTCAGTCTCTGGGCTCAGACAATGGCTTCTCAGGGTAAGTCACATGTTAGAGGTCACCTGTCTGTAAGATTAACAAGTTGTTTGTCCCTAAGACCAGTCTCTCTGAGGAAGGTCACAGAGGCAGGACATCAGCTACACTGTGTTGCATTCTTGCACAAGTCATGACATTGGGGCTGAAGAAAGAGCCTGGACATCAGGGACTTTGCCCACAGCACGTGGCACCCACAATTGCCCAGCCTGTTCTCATGCTTCAGCCCAATGCAGCTTCTGAAGCCAATGGAACAGTAGGCAGCTTTGTTCACTCTAGCTGCAGGGGGACGAAAGGGATCTTTTGCATTGCAGAGATTTTATACATAAATATATTTTGTTTGTAATGAGCCATTCTCAATAAACATTATTCTCACTGCACAGTGGTGACAGCCCTTGGCTGGCCTTTCTGAGAAGCTGTGTTAATCTGCAGAATTCCTGTCTCCAACCCTCCGTGTACCCTCCATTTCCAGCCTCCACTTATTGGCCAGATAGTGGGTTCTTCTAGGATTCATTTAATAATTTCATTTTAAAATTCCACTTCTGAAAAGGGAAGTGTTTGGTAAATCTGGCATCCTCAGAGCTGTCCTAGGCCCTTGAGGGGGCTAATGGAGCCATAGCCAGCTTTTTCAATATGCCCAGGTCTCCTACCTAATGCCTTTCCTGACTGCTATTTGTCCCTCCCACCACTCACATTGAAAAGATATTAATAGACATCCTGACCAAGATCTTGAGCTCTTTGCTTCAAACCGCAGAGCAGCCCTGTACTCACACTTTCATTTGAGCTGACCATTTAAGGAAGCAGTATGAGCTATCATCTATGGGGTACCTAACTAGAATATGCCAGGCAGCATACCAGGTAGACAATGGTAGTGAGCTTGCTCTTTTCTACACTTGAGCATGAATCCTCAGCTCACTCTAGAGGAAGAGGCCCCATCCTGAATGGGCATTTGTTGGTTTATGGACTCTGAGTGGCCACCAAATTCAGTTAACAGAATGTGGGAGGTATTGGGGCAGGAATGGCAAAAGAAGACAGGATGGTACAGCCTGGGTGTAGTTGGCTGCACAGAGCATATGGGGTGTGGGGGTGGGCAGTGAGAACAAAAACCAAGGATTCCAATAAGAGGTTCCATTGGGAACTAATGGGCTGGTCCAGGGCAGAATCTGAGCCCAAGCTGTTAAACCAGGGGCCAGAACCCAGAGATGAGAGGACACACCACCCCACCTTGCTACTCTATTGTTCAGACTGGTTTTTGGTAGAGCGTGGCACCTCCTTGCCCAGTTGCTATGTGAACTTCCTATCTATACACTATCTTTTGAGGCTACCTCCCTCTTATACCCAGTACCCCTAGGAGGACACTGGGGACCAGTGGACAATGCCACCAGTGGACACTGGACATTCAGTGCCAGGGAGAGGGAAGCATGTCACAAAACAAGTAGGTTTCAACATTACACATACAATGAACAGTTTTAATAGAATCCATCACACACTGGTTGTAGAAGGTACTGTACAATTTTATTAGCTTTCCATTGCTGTATGACAAATTATCTGCCAAATTTAGCAGTTTAAAACAACAAACAGCCAGGTATGGTGAAGCAGGCCTGTGATCCCAGGGGCTCAGGAGGCTGAGGCAGGAGGAGTTCAAAGCCAGCCTCAGCAACTTGGTAAGGCCCTAAGCAACTCTGCTAGACCTTGTCTTTAAATAAAATAAAAAGAAAGGGCTGGGAACATACCTCGATGGTTAAGTGCCCCTGGATTCAATCCCTGGGACAAAAAGGGAAAAAATTATCTCAATTTCCGTGGGTCAGGAATCTGGGTACAGCTGAGGTGGCACCTCTGGCTCAGGGTTTCTTTTGATGTTAGTCAAACTGGTGGCTGGGARTACAGTGCTCTCAAGGATAGAGTGGGGCTGGAGCTCGCTCATAGAGATGCCAGCCATAGGCTTCCTGAGTGTCCTCATAGCATAGCAGCAGGTGACATGGGAAGGTGAGCCCAAGAATGCTGGAAGGATAGAAGCCATAGTCTGTAACCTAATCTTGGGAGACGACATCCTCACTTCTGTAGAATTCTACTTATTATAAATGAATCATTGGTCCCTAGATTATCTCCAACATAACAGAGGTCATTGGCCTTGACTCTAAGCACCTGTGTGTCCTTGTCTTTTTATGAAATGAAATGACTCTGGCACAGAGTCAATGGCTACCAGAGGGTTCCCAAGTGGCTTGTTGGATGGAGAGGCCAGAATTCAATTAGCTCTACCTTATCAGAAATCTTTTATATTCATGGGCTCACCCAGCAGAGTATCTGCTGAGATCCACAAGGTATTAAACAGAGAATAYAGTTGAAAGAAAGAAAAAGAAATGAATCCAGCATGCACTGGAGATGACAAAGGGCACAAATACTAGGAGGCGCAAGGGTCATTRGATGTCATGGTCAATGGTTATTTCTACAGATTAAATTTCAGGAGAGAACTAAGTATGCCCCTACAAAGACTTGTCTAGCTCGTCCTGGGGTATCTTCTTCATAGTGCCAATGGTGAGAAGTTATAAAACAGGGTGCCCCGATCAGACCAGCTTGACAACCACAGCAGGCTACAGTACCCTCTGGGAGATTTAGGATGTAAAAATGAGGCTCTACATTCATCATTATTTGATGGGGGACCCCATTCATCATTATTTGGCCACAGAGTGTTTTGATGTAACACTGGTATTCCATTAAATATGTTGAAAGTTGRGAAGTCACTTGTCTAGTCCAAGGAGGAGACTGGGGTCCAGAGAGGGGCAGTGACTGGCTAAGGTCATGACTCAATTAGCTAGAGACAGAGCAAGACCCAAACCTGTCATTTGCTGTTTTCCCAATCCTCAGACCAGGTCATGATCAGAAGCAGCAACAACCCTAGTGACCCTGTAGGGGTGAGCCTATTCCAGAAAAGCCAGGAAATGAGCTCCGAGTTTGGAAGCCAGAGACTGGGCTATTTGGCTCTTGGGGACTTCTCCCAGGTAGAAAGAATGGCACTTGGATTGATGGTTGGAAGGAGGTAGAACCTTCAGCTGTCTTCCTGGTGATGCCTCTGACTCAGAGTTTCTTGTGATGTTTCTATCCAACCTGCCTCAGCCTTGGGATCCAAGGCTGAGGATCATGGACTTGTCCCTACCCTCCAGCTTCAGAACAGAATTGAGGAAACTAGGGAAATACTGAGATGTCATCCAGCTGAGCTGCTGGTCCCCAGGGGCCAAGTGATGGGACCAGCATGGAATTGAGTGTTCATGGAAAAACCTCAATGCCTGGAAATGCAAGTTGAAACTCCCACGGTCCCAGACCAAAGGACCCTCCAGTGGGTGGTTACTCCTCCCCTCCTCTCTGCCTCTTGACTTCCTCTGCATCTCCTTGGCTGCCTATATACTACTATTCCAGGCTCTACCCCAAGAAATCTTTTGCCTTTTACAGCCCTGGGTGATCTGGTGAAGTGGCCTTCCCAAGCTGTTTAAAGCCTCTTAGTTTACCAGGGCTTGAGGTCTACATCTTTATCTTCGCAATATAAGGCCTCTTCTTAGTACCTTTCACCTGCCAAAGTCCTTTCATTCCTCAGGGCCTTTGCACCTATTGTGCCCCCATCACCACCACTTCCCTCAGAGCTCTCTCCGAATGTCACTTTCTAAACAACACTTCCACCTTTCTRCCCTTCCTCTACCAGGTTGTGATGTCTACATGACTCCTCCATTGCTGGAGCCCTAGTACCTGACACCTAATAATTGCTTGATAAGTGTGAGTGAATGGATAGTATGCACTAGATCTTTAACAACACCTATTTCTCAGCTTTCCTGTATTTTTCAGAGATCATCATTAAAGGGGAGGATACATTTGAGCCTTCTTTGTCATGTAGAATCCAGCAGACATTCACTCCTACCAAGAATGGTGGAAGAGTAAACCGATGACGGCTTTTAAAACAGGATAACTTAGTTAGTACAGTCAGCCTTCCATATCTGTGGGTTCTGCATCCACGGATTCAATGAACAGTGGATATAAAATATTTTTAAAAATTTCTCTATCCTAAGCAAATAGACTTTTCTTGTCATTATTTCCTTAACAATATAATATAGCAACTATTTACATAGCAGTTACATTGTAGGAAGTATTATAAGTAGGACTTGAATCAATGCAAGAAAATGCTGGTCCTCGGGCTACCTTTTTTTTTTTTTTTTTTTCCTTTTTCTTTTGGTACCAGGGATTGAGCTCAGGGGCACTTAACCATTGTTCTACATCCCCAGACCCCTTTTATGTTTTAGTTTTATATAGGGCCTCATTAAGTTGCCGAGATTAGTGTCAAACTTGCAGTCCTCCTGCCTCAACATCTGGAGTCACTGGAATACTTTTATTGTCATAATAAACTRTCCTTTGTCTTTGACCCAGGAGTGTTGTACCTACCAACATCCATGAAACTATTGCAGGCAAATTTGCAAAAAACACCTCTGATGATGATTTGTGTGTGTGGTACTGGGGATTGAACCCAGGGCCTTGTGCATGCAAGGCAAGCACTCTACCACTTGAGCTTATCCCCAGCCCCTTTGATGATTCTTGACAGTATTGGCAACAAAGATGGGTTACTGACTGAAACATGGCTTTGGGGGAGAACAGTGAGAGCCTTGCAGCCTGATGAAGWGGAAGTCCATGGGAATCAATTACAAACTTGTTGACCAACTTGTATGATACTTGGGCAATAAATGGTCCCTTATTTTATTGTCTGTTAATGAAAAAATTGTGAGGTGGGGTTGTAGGCCCAGTCCCTGGAAGAGGATTCAAAGACAGCTGCCTGGATGGTGCCCTGGTTGTCACTAATTCTCTTTGGGCATCGTGTATCTGGCACCAATCTGGTGGGCAACCTTATGTCTTTATATTGTTAACAACCAGTAYTAAAATTTGCTTTGGGTGCAGATATTTCCAACCCCTTTGAGACAACAGTTACTGAAATAWACACTTATACTGAGCATGAATATGAGGAATTCATAACCACAATGGAAAGAAAGCAGGCAAATTGGAATGTTGGCTGATTTAATTTACTGATTTACCCAGGAGGTGAGGCCTGTAATGCTTGTGAAGGAGGAACGTCTTAGCTGGGCTGTCTTTTGGCTTGGTCCTTCCTGCAATCTATTATGCCAACATTTTTTTAAGGGATTAAACCTAGGCCTTCGAGCACACTAAATATATGCTCTACCACTAAGCTATACCTCCAGCCTCTTATGACAACCTTAAATCCATTAGGAGACAATGGTAAAAGATCCCAGAGTTTTTGTTTTTACAGTAGGTCCTAAAAGCTAAAAATGATCTTGAGCCCTCTCAAGGAGATTCCCCTAAGAATAACTCCTATGAAAGACCACAGATGTAGCATTAACTGGTATTTGGGCTCTTACTACCTTGGATTGGGTTTGCAATGCTCATAAAGGCAGCTCACTAGAGAATGAGAAGTGAACCAAAATAATTCTAGATAGAATCTTGTAGTCAACTTCATCACCCAGGAAAGTTTTCTAGTCCTCCTGTTAAAGCTAAGCTGGGCACAGTAGCATGCACCTGTAATCCCAGCTCCTCAGGAGACTGAGGCAGGAGAATCTCAAGTTTGGGCCAGCCTCCACAAGATCCTGTTTCAAAGAAAAACAAAACAAAAGGGYAGAAACAAGCATTATTATGATAACTGGGCAACAAATGGCTTGGATTAAGTTGGACTTAAAAGAAGTATCATGGCTCATGTCTAGAGTAAGCCAAAGAAAATATACACTGTGGCCMCAGACAGAAAGCAAGGAGCTGTGGAGTCAAGGCCGGAATAGTGTCGGTAGTGATGACCTTGCCATTTGCTATAGGGCTGGGTAGGCAAAAAACTTCGGAGTTCATTCAGTTGAGGCATGAATTGCTGCTATACTCTTCAAAATGAAAGTAAGCATTCCCATCTTTAATGGCCCTTAGTTACTTTCTCCTTCCCTAATTCTGATCCTTTATTCCCTCTCTGTCCCAACCTCAGCTACTCCCGTCTTCAAGGTGGACCAAAGACCATATGTACCCGTCTGAAAATGTTGGGGAACTTTGGGGACAGGAGGGACTCAAACTTTTAACTGCTCTRTTGATTATGGGTGCCGAAGTCACCATCCTTATCTGGTGTTAAGGGATAAAAAGGTTTCCAAATGGAGGCTGGGCAAGTTCCATAGTAGGGTGGAGAAAGAAAAGACTAAGTACCTAGGCCCTCTGGTCCAATTCCATGTATTGGGTTGCATCTACTTTTGAAAGTATGGTAAGAATTGATGTTATTCTTTTGTCCCTTGAGTGGAGGAGTCTCCCAAATAGAAGATCTGTACACAAAGAAGTGTGAAATAAACTCCCCTGCCATTTGCCTGTAGTGGGCAAGTCAGGATTTAGGTGAGTCCCTTTACCTTCTTGATGTCCAAAACTTTCACAACCTAGAGGATGTCCAATTRAGTGGCAAGTCAAGGCTCAGTCTTAGTGGTCCTGACTATAGCATTGACACCTCTCCACAGAGATGGCTGATAATTCCTGACTAAATTTAATTTCTTGGGACTGGGTGGGCAGATTTACAATATCTAATCCTTCCAGCAGTCAAGGAAAAATCTTCTGTCTCTTCTACCACAGCCAAAAAAAAAGGAGGCCCAGCACCTTCTTGAATTCTTTGGGTATCGAGACTAGCACATACCTCAGATGGACATACTACTTGGTTCTTTATATCAGCTAATCTACAAATCGGCATCCTTTAAGCAGGACCTAGACCAACAGGCTGCCTTGGAAGTTGTCTGGTTGACTGCAGCCTATTTGCTACTTTGGGGCCCCACAACTCTAAAGACCCTCCTAAAAAAGCTATTAAGCCTCTGTGACTGATAATTTTGCTAAATGAAACCCCTGGCAGAGGGAAGCAGACTGCATCCATAAGAATCCCTGGGGATTTGGGGGTTAATGCATTACTGACAGTGACCAAGTACATCCCTTTTGAAAGCCTTACTATCTGGGCTCTTGTTAAAATGGGACAATTTGGGGCAAGGGATATGACTCAGTGGTAAATGCTTGTCTGGCATGTGTGAGGCCCAGTACCATGTAAACAAATAGGACAACTGAGCTCAGAAAGCTTTGCTTATAAAATGGAAATGGGTCTATTCATGAACACAACTAGCCTGGCCATGGTGTCATCTCAGACTTATATGAAAAAAACTGGCAATTAACCCTTTGGGGGAAACATACCCACAATTAAGCAGAGCAAAGTCATTGGCCCAGGGGACCTTGTAAATTACAGAGGTTTCCCAAGTACACAGATGGTTTAGCTAAGCTGAAGCCTGATGATGTCTTCTGGTTTTCTGTGGTTTTCCACTCTCAGATACAGCCCCAAAGTCTGGCTTACTTCATTCCTATGTTGGGTATGGACTGAAGGATAAAAAAACATGGATGTGTGTTACTCTGCTCAGTAAGTAGGAACCATTCTCATAGCCTCAGACCAGTACTCCAATTGATAGGCCATATTATATTTGTTCTGACTCTTGGGCTATTGTCAATAGCCTAGTTGTTTGATCTGTCACTTAGAAAATCTCAATGGGCAGATTAAAGACACTCCTCTTTGGGGCCATGAATGGTGGAAATAAATGCAGTTATGACAACCTGTCTGGGTCACAAACATAGATGCCTACCAGAAGAGCCTGTTTTCTGATGAGATTAATGCCAAGCCAATAACAAAAAAAACATGGTTTTGAGAAAAAAGAAAAAAGCAGTTTTATTGCTTTGCTAGCAAAGAAGAAACACAGGGGACTCCTGTCTCACAGGGTGTGATTCTCCCCTTTAGCAGGAACTGGGGGCTTTTAAAGAGATGATTCAAAAGCTACATTCCARGTGTTCTCTGTTGGAGTTTTAATTCACTTTTTAATTTGGGAGATAGTCATTTCTGAGATCTTCTAGTACCATCCCCAAAGTCTGGCTTATTTCATTCTTATGTTGGGTATGTACTCAAGGACAGGTAAATCTGCCTAAAATGGAGATGAAAGATAATTCTGTTTCCCCTGAGATTAGGGAGGTAGAGAGATTAGGGACGAGCAGGGAGAGAAAAAGAGAAAGAAACATTTCTATTTTAAAAATAACTTTCAGTGGCAGAGCAGTAAGAGCTATATTCAAAGCATAAAGTGAACCACTGTTACAGTTGTACTGTTACAGTTGTACTGTTACAATCCCACCAATAGTGTAAAAGTGTTCCTTTTTCTCCATATCCTCTCTAGCAATTATTTTATTATTATTATTATTATTTGGTATTGGGGATTGAACTCAGGGACACTTAACCACTGAGCCACATCCCCAGCCCTTTTTATTTTGAGACAGGGTTGCTTAAAGCCTAAGTTGCTGCTGGGGTTGTGGCTCAGTGGTAGAATGCTCGCCTCGCACGTGTGAGGCCCTCAGTTCGATCCTCAGCACCACATAAAAATAAATAAATAAAATGGAGGTAATGTGTCCATCTACAACTTAAAAAAAATATTAAAAAAGAAGCCTAAGTTGCTGAGGCTGTCCCAGAACTTGCAATCCTCCCACCTCAGCCTCCCAAATCATTGGAATTATAGGCCTGTGCCATCATGCCTGGTTTATTATTGTCCGTGTTCTTAATGACCGTCATTCTGACTGGTGCAACACATGAACTTTTGAAGACACATTCAAACCATAGCACAATGACTATTTTGAGCATGTTGCTTGCTTGCTTTCCCAAACAGTGGTTTTAGGCAAGCCTGGTTGGTACACCCTTCTAGAAGGCAGCCCTGCTTAAAAGGGGCTTCAGAGTTCAAATATGATTCTGATTCAGTCACTTGGATTCTCTTGTGGGACTGACATGATCTTAGATCATAAGGATAATGACCACTTGGGTAAGCACTATGCTTACTGAGACCCCTTTCAGTGGCCCACATGAGAAAAACTGGGAAACATAATGGGTTTCTGTGCATTTTATAAAAAGTTCTTCCTCAAAAAAAAAAAAAAAAAAAGGTCTGGGTGCAAGAAAAGGATAATTGGAAAAAGATGACATTTTGAGGACTGGATTGGAGCACACCCATCTTGAAGATAAAGCAGAAACTCTGGCATCTAGGTAGAAAATACCTTATATCCCAGTAGGTAAGAATGGAGGGACATTAATGATTTTATCTTTCACAATTGTTCTTGAAACATTCTTTATGAACAAAAATAACCTGGCCTACCTCTCCCAAACTTTTGTTAGTACTTTAAATTTAACTGACTCCAACTTCTGCCTTCATTCCTCAGATGACTTTGACTAGTTTAGTCACCATTCCTTATTACCTTTGCCAAATGTTTATTATAAACAGCAGGGGATATCCCTGGCTTCTGTACTTCCCACAAAAAATACCTACAATGTATCAATACCAATGTTTCAGATGTTTTTCTTGCTGTCATTCCCACAGACCTCTCAGCCAATCTGTGGAAAAGACTAATGTCACTCAACTGATGGCATGAACAACCAGGATAGACTGGACTAACTACCCTCAGGCAGTCCTTCCATATATAAGGTGCTATAGTTTGTCCCTGAAATGTYCCTGAAAGGTCCATGTGTTAAAGGCTTGGTCCCCAACCTGTAGCATTATTGGGAAGTAGCAGAACCTTTAAAAGGTGATGCATAGGGACTGGGGATGTAGAGCTACAAGTGGTAGAGCACTTGCTTTGCCTAGTGTGCACAGGCCCTGGGTTCAATCCCTAGCGCGCGCACACACACACACACACACACACACAAAGATCAAGCTTAGTGGTAGGAATTAGGTCACTGGAGATGTGCCCTTGAAGGGGATATTGGGAACCTACCCTTTCTCATCTTTGCTTCCTGGCTGTCATAGGCAAGAATTTCCTCTGCAGTGTGCTTCCCACCATGGTGTACTTGCCACAGGCCTAAAGGCAATGAGGCAAAGTAACCATGGACTGAAGTCTCTGAAACTATGAGCCAAAATAAATAAAATTTTCCTCTTTATAAATTGATTATATCAGGTATTTTTTTCATTGACAGAAAGCTAACACATGAGGATTAGACTTAATTATTCAAAGTAAACTGGGAACCCAAAGATCTACCAACTGGCCAGGACCTTGGGGGACACTGACACTTGTAAACAACACTTTCTTTCTCAGAGTGCCATATGTGCCCTTATGACTATATTTCTTATGTGAAAACTAGTTGGATCAACCTCTCCAAAAGGGTGTACTGTATTTTCATGATGATCATAAGAGAATTTTGTGTTTTAGTAAACATCATGGAGCACAGATCKTGCAACCCACGGATAATAATGGAGATATTTCTAAAATGAGGCTACCCCTGGTTAATCAGAAACTTTTTGAACTGATAACTGACTTGCTGTTAATATACACAATGGGAACAATTATTCCTATTATGTAACTCATCTGATTACAAAGGCAATGCAACTTTTGTCCCTGACTTTAGTTGATCTGATCAATGGTACCACCATGGCCCTGGAAGATATTCAGGTCAGCATCAAATGACTGGCCAGAATTTATTTATAAAAAAATATACTTTCTTATAAGTCCAGGCCACAATGGAGACTATGCAATATCTAATATGGTTTCGTGACTTGGGCCAGAGTGGAAAGGTCAGTATTTGAGAAAAACACCTAACTTTCTAGGGTAGACTTTAATAATTTATGGATTTGCTCAGCCTGTTGGAGGAGAGCTCTGAGGTTAGGAATGAGGTTAATATAAGTTGGGCTCATTCAGCTGCAAATGCCTCACCACACCACTGACTATAGCTAGTAAATGCTGATTGCAGCCAATCAGGTTGTTTCTTAGGAAAGTATGTGATTTCATTTTCTCTGAATATAAAAATGATCTGGATATATTGTAGGGTGGGGAATTCTGAACCAATTTCAGTCARAAGTGGTGACTGGTTCTAGAACTCTTTTTCTTGCTTAAGTAAATTCTGTTAAACTTATTG